TTTTTTTTGTTTCGTTTTGATGCGATCACCATCGACAACGCGCAATTTCTTCCACACTTGTTCACCGTTCCGAGCCTTGTACAGTTTATCCTCTTATATTTATCGGCAGAAATAACATTTTATTATATCGAATAACTAACGATGTTATACTCACACACACACACACACACACACACACACACACACACACGCACACATACGCACACACATATGTACATAACGTTCAACTCTTCCATTTCTGTTTTGTTTTTCCTTTTTGCCACTTTCTTTTCTTTCGTTTCTGTTTTATTTCAATTTTTGCGACCGATACGAATCCTTTGAATTTTTCTTTCGGTCGAGAAGTAAATTCGTCATTGGGTGACTTAATTTTTGCGCGTTGAAAAGGATGTGACGTCGATTCTGTTGCCTGCTTCGTTCGAGGGGTCGAATAATTGGATTGAATGAGACTCAAGTAGTAATCAAACGATGCCTCTGTGAATTATGTCGGAGCGAGTTCAGCGAGGGATCGAAAGAACTTCGACATGGAAAAAATACGCCATGCCGATGAAAATCACGTGTCGGTGAATTGAAAAAGTTTGTGTCAGTCGTTGGAAAACGTTTGCTCCGTGAAACGGAACGCGTCGTCGTGAAGGAAACGCGGTACACTTACAGAATACGATTCTCTATCGTTTTGTCATAATTCTATACACGTAGTTTTACATTTAGCCTGAGATAGGAGACATACATGTCGTACGATTAAAGTATTGTCAACGCTGTACGAAAGGAGAACGACGAAATCGATGCAACGATAGTTTCTTTCTCCCTTAATTAGCTTCTTTTTCTCCTTAGTTTTAACAATTATGCGACGTTATGCGATACACGACTGTCATGGCACGATTACGAAGAAATTAACGACAAGTTTGCAGTTTACTTTGCTTTACTTCGAGTGTCCAGCTTATGTTGTTGCTCGAAATTTTTCGCACTCAAACGATAAAACTGCAGAAACTTTTTCTCGAATCGTTGCGTCGAATACTAGCGGTCGCATAGACAATCGGCACGAAATTTCGCAAAGAGACGAACAATTACATCTGTTACATCGTTAACAACAAAGACGGAATATTCGTTTCGTTTCCAATTCGTTTCTAAGCAGGATAATAATACGAACAGTTTCAACAGAAACAATCCGACACAACTCGAGGTCGTCGATTCGATAACAATTTTTTCGAATGATTTTCTATCTCGATACTATTGGTATAAGTTCAAGGCATTGTCTCAAAATATCAGCGTGTCAATATGCAAAGAATGTTAATTTTCAGCAACGATTAGACAACTGAAATCATTCGAAGAACTTTCACGATCACGATCGTGACAGGTTCGAGTCACTTAATCGTAAATCTACGTAGGTACGTTGTTTGCTTGCTTGATTCATCTGTGTTCCAAATTGACGTCGTTTTGTGGGTCGATGGCAACTATCTCGACGTTAATTTTTCGAGTACAGGAAGAATGCGCGCGCGCAATACGAATAATTACAACTATCTTCTATAGTTTATTTGTTCCTCCTGGTCACGTAATAATAACGAAACCAAGGGTTCAGCTTCCCGGCGAATCAACGATTCGTCGTTCTACTTTGTACCAATGCTGAGTATTACATCGATCAACAATGTTCCATAGATACTCTGCTTTCATTAAAACTTCTGTCTCTTAAACGATTAGCTTAGGTGCGGCAGTTAAGAAGAACGATATTGACAGCAAAAAGTCTTCGAATAATCCGCTTTCTCGTAGCTTACAATTAGTCGTTTCTCAATCCGAAAGATCTCGATTCTCCAGCGAAAATCCAGTGGAAAATTTGTTACCTCGTTATGTACATGTTATTGTTTGTCGTTACTATCTATAATTGAAATTATACCGAAAGTATAATGCACCGGGGGAGGGTGAAAATGGCGCGGCTGGTGCCATATCAATGATGCGGCGCAATGAAATGTAATAGAAAATGTGTGGAAAACTCGTCGGAAATTGAAAAGATACAAAAATTGAAAAACACGTCGGGCGTGAACTGAGAAGGAGGAAAACGATTGGAAATTGTCGTCGAGACCATTTCTCCTTCTGCTGCGACGTTGAACGTTACCTACTGTTACTTTGTTCGTGTTTGCACGCAAAAGGTTTGAGAAAAACACATTTTCGTTGCAAGAACGCGTTGAATGCGAGTCACTGGCATTCATTTTAGACTTTGATTGTTTCGAAATATGCTCGAGTACAAAAGTAAAAAGTTGAAAAGTAACAAAGATCGACGAGTTTTGTCGAAACGACACTCCCATAGTAATCATAATAATAATAATAATGATAATAATAATAATAATAATAATAATAATAATACGAGAATAGTCAACAAGTATAGATACAATATATTAGGAAGTAGCGATTCACCGGTAAGGGTAAAGCAAAGACTGATCGATGTCGACGAAAGTCGTGTTCTTCGTGGTCGCGTGACACCGTGTAATTGATAATGATTAGATCGAAGAAACAGTCGAGAACTCCGAGACAAGCAACGCGTGCAAATTATAGTACGCAAGTGGTCGTTAACGTTAACGGTCGGCTGCGAAATAACACTCGTAAAATCGGTGTCGAAAACGCCGTCGATAGACGGTATTGTATATCGCTGGAAGCAACCACCAGAGAATTACTTTGCCAGTTTCCCGAATAAATCAATCTGGTAGTGAACGTAAAAGTATACCGTGCACCTAGCCTACGAAATCATTTCATTAGGAATAAATAGACTCGAGTACGTGATGTTGCCTAGCGTGGAACGGCAACTACTCGCGCTGAGTTACAACCCACTGATTATACAAATTAGGAGTGTTCTTAAAATAATCGCGATACGGTACAATCTATTAAATTGTTTCAGCGAGCGCACGCGTGTCTCGTTCACGGTTACCTGCCAAGAAAGGCCAAGTCTTTCGCGATTTCGCCCTAGGTACATCGATCCGATTTCGTTAACGAGATCCCAGCAATGGACATTATATATTATATATATATGAGAAAAAATACTCTCTGCAAAATGTAACAACGACTCGTTACACGGAAATCTCCCGCGAGACGATTCAAACGACAGAAGTGATCGTTATGCCGCGGAGCGTAATCCTTCCGATCGGGAAATTCAACTCGATGATCGTTATACGGAAATCGCGTGAAACGTGGTATGTGAAACATAGAGTAGAAGAGGTTCAGAATATGTGAGTTTTGAACAACCAAACCAAATTCGGCCTGCCTTCCTGCCTCACCACTAACTTTATGTAGAAACCAGTCACGCTCTCTGCAGGCTGCAGTATTTGCCGCTGTTCCTGTTTAGGCGATTCCGCCCCGTGCACCCTGATCTCCACTCTTTCGTCTCTCCTCTGTTTCACTTTCTTTCGTTCGGTTTCTTTCTGCCGTTGCTGTTTCTCCGACTTCTTCTCCGTCTCGTCGGGTTTCCGTCCCTCCAGGTACACCTGCATCTGCTGGAATTGCCGACTCTGCCACTGCTCTTCGCGTTTCAGCTCCTCGATCTGTTGTTCCAGCGATTCTTCCTGCCTTTGCAACAGCAGGTCCTGCCGCAACGCCCATTCGCTCTTCAGCTCTTCCAACGGTAGCTGCAACTTTCTCTTCTCGCGAATCTTTCGTTGCTCCTCCTCCCTCCGCCGTTTCAGCTCCGACTCATGCTCCTCTTCTGTTCGTTTCTCTTTTTCAGGTGGATGCTGCGGCTTTTCTTCCTGTTTCAAAGACGGAATCGACTCTCTCGGCTCTTTGTCCTCTTCGTGCCTCTGCGTTTCCCTTTGCGTTTCTCGTTGCTCAAAAAGTTTACCATCTTCCTGCCGCTTCGTTTCGCTTTCCAAATCCGTTTTTCGAGCTGTCTCCTGCTCCTTCCGCTTCTCTTCCTCCAGCCTCTGTCGGTCGATCTCTTCCCCTTCCTTCTCCCTTCTCGCGACGTCCTCCGCTTCCTTATCGTGCGACGTCTTCGACTCCTCTTGCTGCTTCGACTCCTGCTGTTTCTTCCTCGACTCCTCCTCTTCTTCCTTCTTCCTCCTCAATTCCTCCTGCTGCTTCTTCCTCAGCAGCTCCTTCTGCCTCCTCTCGAACTCCTCCTGCAACTCCTGCCTCCTGAGTTCCTCCTCCTGCTTCCTGATCAGCTGCTCGTCTTGCTGCTGTTGCAGCGAGTCCTCCTGCCTCATCGACTGATACTGGCTCCGTTGCTCGATCAGCCGCTGTATATCCTCCTCTTCGGAGTGGCGGTGCTTCGGCCATTGTTCGCGCTCCCTTATCTCCTGCTCAGCTATGCCGTATTTACCTTCAAGCGGGTGCGAATTAACCGCGTGGTCAATAGGAATTCGCTCGCGTCGAGGCTCGTCCGATACGGCCGCGATCAATGCGGCCGCGGCCGGAGGTTAGTTGCTACCTGAATGCTGCTTCTCGTCGGACCCCTCGTCAGACCCGGTCGAGCTCAACGACGTGTTGCTGCCGTACTGGTCCTGCAGAGAGGACTGCACCGACAGACTACGGTCCTGGTGCTTCACTCTGTGGGGGGACAACTTTCCGGGGTCGACACTGGTCGGGTCTGCCTGCAACAAATTCTTCGGTTAAGCCACTTACGGCATGTACACCCTCCTCCGCAGTTGGAGGCTGTAAACAATATATATAAAGGATTATGGCTGGCTCTACACGGAGTGGCGGAATTTGCTCGGTGTGTTTTAGATTTGCAATTTGATTTAACCCTTTCGTCAAGAGAACTATCACTTTCTCTTCTCTCGCGACCGTGATCGAACGAATCGTCGAGCGAATTTGTCTGATTCTCCTCGCAAGACTTTTCGAACATTTTAATCGTCGAACGCGTCTCGACGATACGTGGACTCGGTTGACAGATCGGTCATTCTACGAAACCGAAAGAGTTAAGACAGGGGCGTAGGCATTGGCATACAAGTTGTGGTGAAACACGCGTAAACGAATGACAATGAGGGAGTAAATGAGTTGATCATCGTAGGGGACGTATGCGAGTGTGCAGACATCATTTATCTGTGAATGAATTTACAGTTGCTCAACTGAGATCGATCGAATGTTTTACACACGTTCGAAAGGTGCGTGACGATAAACGTGAAAGTTTTTTTTTTTTTTTTTTTTTTTTGCAAAGTTCCATCAAATATTCAATGCAGAACAACGACATGTAAACTACAATCGATGGGACAGCGAAATGGACGCGTTCATTTCAAACGGTTGGCCCAGGGGAGAGTTTTGTTTGAAAGGGGACAACTGAATTGGAATAAATATTACGTGTGCATACGATGTAGCAGTCAAAAATGTTCTTGGGAGCGGTAGTTTCTTTCGACATGTACACACAGTGTGTAAGATGTGAAATTGGTTGCACATACAATAGTCAGTGACTGAAGGTTGATTCGATCGAGCATTGGAACATCTTATACGTCGAAATAATAAAGTATTGCAGACTTACACTTTCCAGAATAATTAACAGGAAACTTTCTAGAATAATCAAAAATATTACAATAATGAGTAACCCATGAACGTCTGTTAATGAATTTTACGTAACATTAAACGCTAGGCTATCCTGTATACTTCAAGTATCGTATGATCTTTCAATTATTCTGAACAGTGTAGCATGTACATTAACGCAAAGTGTGTCGTATATTGTTACGTGAAATACGTGTGAAGGTCTCAGGGAGAGATATATTTACTATCGACTTTGAGTGTAAAAATTAAAGTACTTTGAGTAAGTTTGTAGAACGTTACAGAAAAGCAAGAGTCACTTTTTCTTTTTTCTTCTTTTTTTTTTTTTTTTTTTTTTTTTTTTTTTTTTTTTAATGAAATTTAAAGGAAACCCTTGGACCTTGAAGAAAAGTTATACCGCGTGTATAACGCGGGTACGCGTCGAATATTGTACAACTGTCGGCGAAATTTGCAAACGAGAATCTTTCGATTCCAAACGAGATAGTCCCATCTTCTGCATGCTTCTTCGACATAATATAAAACAACAGTCAGAGAAACGGGTGTAATACGTGTATCAAAGGGGACGAGAAGAACCATAAAATACATATTCATACTTGAATTCTCTTTCATCTCAATTATAATTGTCTCATATATTTCTCAGGACGTGAGAAGCGTGAGCAACGTAGAACTGAGCACACTACGGTTTACCTTCGTGAAGAATGTACATTTTAGCTTTCATTTCGCTAGAAATTCGCAAACAACGATCCTGGGGAGCTGCACTAAGCGTGCTGCTTGCAACAGTGTAATCTCGATCAGGCTGCTTCATAACGTACAATTAGAACAAACTCGTTTCGCGCGTTTCGAGTACTGTCTGCGACGTCCAAGTGAACGAGGCCAAGACGACCGAAAGGCAGAGAATAACTTTGGACACTATTTTCGTAATTTCGACAATTTCGTAGGTACTGCGATAAAAGGAAAAAGAAAAAAAGAAAAGAAAAGAAAGAAAGAATGATCAAAAATCCAAATACTCGACTTGGTTCTGACTTTCTTCGATTGAACTGAAGAGACGACGTAAGCTCGATATATAAGATAGAGAATGAAAACGAACGGAAGAAAGCGTAAAAAGCGTTAGTAATCTCGCTGTTGTTTCTGAAGTAACACGCACCTGATAGGCCAACGCGTTTACTATGATGCTCGATGGCACCAAGCCTAGGGGATGAACCTCTCTCATCAGCACGTTCGCAGGGATCTTGTGGAACTGTATGTACTCGAGGAAATTGCCAATCACCTCCTTCAGGTCTTGATTTTGGTTGCTGTCGCAGTACTTCTTGCTCCACATGAGGGCCGCCTGAAAGCAATTCAAAGTTCGATAAACCTCAATCTCGACAAGATCTTCCATTCATCTTGATTCGGTGGTTTGAAACGGCCAAAGATCCACGTACTTGGAACTTGGTGAACTCGTCGGCTCGTAGCTCTTCTCTCGCCAGAATCAGACGAACAACGTGCTGAGGGAGCAAGGTGAAGGATCCTAGATTCAACACCTCGTTGCCGTGTTCGTCGACGAATTCGAATACCTTTGAATCAAAAGGACACGGTTAGGTGAAAGTGTGGGAAAAAATCGAGGAACGAACGACGGGGGAAGGAAAGTCTCTGCGACTTTCTCAGCTCACCTTATGGACCAAGGATTTTGTACATTTGTACTGGATGTATCGCTCGGCCGACGCCAGTAATGCACACACAGTGTCCACTGTTATGCAACATTGTACAAACCCGGTGCAAGCTTTTCTCAGCTGTTCCAATCCGTAATAATCAGCGGCGTTCATCAATCCTTGAAAGTGAAAATTTTTCATTGCTTGAAAATTCGTATAGCGTCGGTGCGCTTGCGTTTGTCGATGAGAATCACTTACCCAATAAAGTTCTAGGCTGTAACGTTACGCATCCAGTGTGAATGTATTCGATCAACTGACGAAACACATCAGGCTCGAACTCTTCGATGATCACGGTGTGATGCTGATTCGGCTGTGATTTAGAAAAAAAAAAAAAAAGAAAGGGAGAAGAAAAAGAATTTACGACAGACGAAAAGATAGACAAGACGAAATTGAAATTTGAAAATTGCAAATTCATGCCAAGCGATTTCTTTTCTGGTGCATTCACTGATGGATGAATAAGATCTCAAATCTTAAATGGGAAAGGAAAGAAACAAGGAAACTGTATTTACAAATCTATCAAATTCTCCTTACTTTAAAACAGGGAAAATTATAGTTACTCTAATATCTAATATCTAGGAAAATACCTGTCGACTAATGTAAACTTGTTATCGCAAGATTTTTCTTTTTAAATTGCAAGGAGAGAGTGTGAGAGTTTTAAAAGATCGTCCATCGTTGTTCGTTTCGATGATCGGTGTCGCGAAAGAGTTCGCATTAGTGCAGACTACTGTGCGTCTCGTCAATTTCGCGGCTACGTGCCATCCTCGAATAACAGAGGATTATGGTTGCAGTCGTGCGAGTCTACGGCTATTGCAAATTTGCCGATGTGAGAACGACGCGACGGTCTGTATTACTCCGGATTCTCCGGATCGCGTAATCAATTCAAAACTTGCATGCCCACTGAGAGAGACAGACTGGAACGATGAATACCTCGTTAAAAACTATTATGCCAATTGAATCACGCAGGGATGCGTTCTAATAATTGCTCGTAAATAAAATCAGAATCAGGTAGATTGATCAGCAAGGCTTTTTCTTTTTAAATGAAATTAATCGTCTCGAAAACTTTGAAAAGATAGATTCTGTAGAATATTTTCGGCGATACTTTCAAAGTAATTTTAAAGTGGAAATCCTTTCGAAGAATAACAAAATAATTAAATAACATTTTTATATCCTTGAATAATAGATAGAAATAGTATCAAATTGGTATCATGAAGATCTGCAGCGATTATGCAGTGACCGAAAGAGTAAAGTTAAAAATTCAAGTCTACCGTGTTACAAAAATCACGAATTTATAATGTAATAGTAAGTTTAATCGTTGTGATGCCGTCTAACTGACAACAACTTTTCTTGGTGAAGCATTCTTCGACTCGAGGATTCATCGCTATCCAGGACCCTTCTCTCTCTATCGAAATGCTTAAGAACAGAGAGAAAAATAAAGAGGAACAGAAAGAAACTCGAAACGAGCGCAGAGTGAACAAAAAAAAAAAAAAAAAAGGAGGAGGGAAAGGAGAGAAGTAAACTGGCGAGTAAAAGTGGAGCACTTTCAGGATGCAAAAATCGTATAGAGAAGTGACGTTATTATAATAATACCTCTTGTATTGGAGCCAACTGCTGCACGAACCCTGACCGCTACACGGCACACAACAAACGCACACTTACTATTTCCATCATTTCAACGACTAGGTTCGAGCATGGTACGCGCAACTGTTCTTTTAAGTATCGTCCTCGCTTAACAACGATTAATTTTTCTCAACAGTTTTAGTTTCAGATTGAAAGCTTCGAAAATGAAAGTGATAGAAATCGATTAGTAAATTGCTTTTCGACGTTGTCGCAGAATATGTCTTTACCCGCGTTCACGTAATAAATATGTATAAAAATCTGTGGGGAACGGTGCGATTTTCATTTTAATTTACTTTCGTTCGTTTTTTTTTTCTTTTTTTCTTTTTTCTTTATCTCTCGATCGTATCGTTGGACACACGATTAGAAAAACGATTTATGCCGTGTCGACTTTATTGCTTTCTGCAACGACTGCCATTACCTGTTGCGCTGCGTTTTGCATATTCAACAGCGGCTCCGAGCTTCTCTTCAGGAATAATCGAATCTTGTTTTCTTTTGGCGGCGGGTCCTTTTTACGCTGCGGACTCGGTGCTTGGTAAAACATTTTTTGAAACACCCTACGGAAATAAAAGAGTACATTGCTATTTTTATCCGTGAAATCGTCTCGAGTATCGAGTAAAGAGGAATAACGTTGGAGGAATATTATGTACCGTTCCTATTGTTATCATCTCTGAAGATGAGGAGATTAATTTTGTACGAAAAGAAAATTACACTCACGGCAAGGTTAGTCGCGATACGAACCTACTTCTGGCTGCTAGAACCGCCTTTACAGCGCAGATGGGCTCCTTGGTGTCACCGACGAGGAAGGTCACGTCGCACAGTTCCGGCATGCTGGCCAGAAACTTCATGTCCTCGGCCAAGCCGGATTTATTCTCAAAAATCGAATAATCCGACTCGTCGGCCACGTCTGACCCTGAAGCCTCCGGCATCGAGCTTGTATTATCCTAGAATGAAAAAAACACGTCTCGCTCGTAACGCTCGAACTCGTTTTCGAGTGAAATTAACGTTAAAATGTGTTGCTTTGCGCGATAAAACGGGAACTGTTTCAACGTTAGACGAGATATACTTGGGGTATACGGCTGCGAGAAAGTTCGTCGGTGTATTTTAAACTTTGAGACTGATAAACAAGCTTCTACTTAACGCGTATCGCAGATTTCAGTTCCGCGTAAATTTTTACGCACATTGTATTATACTTTCCCGCTACGTTAAAATTAGTTCCTTCCTCAAATAAAAATATTACATTCGAAATCACGTAGAACGTAGTCACGGATACGTAGTGTAAAATACGTACTGAAATGAGTCGATGGAAGAATCGAGTGGAAGTAAAACTGTAAATCCGTAGCACTGCATTGAATGGCATTGAATTACCAGGTTTAAACTGTTTGAAATTATTTCTACCGCGAAGGGAGTAAATATTTGCAATCTGTCGATGTTACGTTCGCACCATTTAACTTCCTATATCGAGCAGCCATCAGGTTGCTTGCCCATGTAATGACCCGACCGCGTTGCCGATAAAATATCGTAGAAAGGGTTCATTTATTTTTGAGAACGTCCACCGCTATCGGGTCACGTTCAGTTCCATCACACTAATGACACAATACGGGCACAACTATTATTAGTAAGATGTGATATAAATAAAATACTTCAACGTATTTAGATTAAGATTCCTAGACGTTCGTAGGCAACGAAACCACTATGACCTCCTTTGAAAATACGGACAGAGGAATCGCTGTATCAGCCGATGAATAACGTATTGATAGAAATAACGCATTTCATGTATCGACGCTCGATTGTACTTGATTGATAGTAAAGTGTCGTGAAATTGCGTTGCAAGAATCGAATAATATCATTGCAATCAATTTCCATTTAATAGCGATCTGCAAAAATGCAAAGAATTCCTGCAGAAAGGTATTTCGATATTACTGACACTCGATCCCGCGCGAGTAATTACGCAATACGTGCAAGTAATTAACAGATTTTAATTCTACGCCGATTCGATTTCTGCAAAACGACATCCTCGTTGAACAGCTCAAGTGGATAACATTTCATTTCGGTGACTAATTTCTTTTATCGATCTTTTCGAACCGAAGTGAAAAGCGAAAGGAGCAATTGCAAAAAAGACCCGCGTGAACGGCTTTATAATGCAATTCTAGCGAGTCAAGCCAAGCCAAGTCGAGTTAAGAAAGGTTTCTGAAGAAAAGGCAAGCACACCTTAATGGACGAAATGCACTTTCCTTTACTCGATGGGAAAATATACAACCCCGTCGATAAATCATCCCCTTGACGAAAGACTTAACTACCCTTCCGTGTAACCAGCCCTGTTATCTACGATGTAGTTAACCTACTTGCGGACCCGTTTAATCCTCGTCCCACGTCGTCCCACGATATACATACTTTCATTTACGTCCGACCTTTAAGCAACGCGAATAATTTACGCAGTGTGGGTGTTTCGAGCTCTAACAGCCAACAAATGAACTGACTTGGAATGATGTGATTTGGAACGTTCATCGAATATCGTCCTTCCTTTACACCAGTGCGTTACAACTCGATTGGCATTTGCATTTTTGATAACATTCTGGGATTATTGTACTGCGCTGTTGTAGGAATAGGTGCTAAAATATTTCAAGTTGTTGGTGCGAGATAAATACGCGAAATCAAGCGTTGAATCTGACTATGGAGAAAGGAGTGAAACGACAGAATAAAGATCGAATTTTAATTCTTTTACTCAGTGAATTCCACAAACGGAGAAACATCCGCGTCTCGTTGAAAGCAAAGGCGCGCGCGTAGGTTGCATCATCTCGACCTAACAACAATCAAGCTGGTTTCGTAGGAAGTGCAACCCCGACGCGTATGAGAGCGGTAGTCAACTTTTAAATTACCTGTTGCTCGAGTCCCGGAGCCCCCTCGCTCGCCGGGCCGCTTTTGCCCCGAAAAAACACTTTTACCTCACTTCCTCGTTTCTGCGATCACGCATAATCCACTATGCACGCGCGACGATGATCTTCCACCACGGCGTTTTTACCTTTCACCTACAACATCTTTTTCTCGTCTGCACTTGAAAGACAAGTGAAAAAAAAAAGAAAAGAAAAGGTAGTAAATGGAAAAACAGATGCAATCAACGATCTTGGGCGTAAAAAAAAAAAAAAAAAAAAAAAAAAAAAAAAGGAAAAAATACCATCCACTGCAACGCGATGATCGAGAATGAACTGTTCCAGACTGTGCGACCTCTTATTCTCCCGTAGATACGCTTATTGACACTCGAGGGATGTAAAGTCGTGCAACCGTGCGGAAGAGACACGCCTGTATCCGCGTATCTCGATCCCCCTGCCCTTCTCGATTTCTCGCGTCTAACGGAGACTCGACAATGACGCGAGTGGCTCGCGAGCACGCCTCGACCCTTCCTCTGGTGACAGACACCCCGCGAGGGGGTGGCACGAACAGGGTCGGTTTCGTGAATAGAACTCGCGCGATTACTAGCGAAAACACCGCTCGTGCTCGGCCAAAGCCACTCGACTGCGCCGAGTCTACGTTCCCTTCGGCCAGGCCAACCCTCACACTGCGCACTCGCACACCATCATCAGGGGTGAAACTCGGGCATAGCTGCGCCTGTGCGACCCGCAAATCCTCCGAAGGACCTCTCCCTTTTTCCTCTTCTCCTTTCTTTTCCTCACCCTGTCCTCGGATTTTTAAATGTCACCCGGTTACCCCCGGCGAGTCCTGAGATCGCTGATTACACGTTCCTGATGGAGGTTAATTGCGTTTCCTGTGGGGCAAACTTGAATATTGGAAGCTCCTTACGACCTTGTTTCCTTTTCCAACTGCGGTGTCAGATGCTTGCAAAATTCTCTCCTTTTTTTTTCTTTTTTTTTTCTATTCAGATTTGTTTCACGAGAAAATAAATCGTACGGGGATACGATTTAGTCGGGTATATTTAGAGGGTTGATTGATCTTCGGTTCGATTTCGTTTGATACGGCGACTTGATTTTATTTTCGAGGCGATTATCCCTTTTTTGGAATTTGGATGAAACGTACCATCTCTCGATCAATCATTCGAGACTGTCGCTGTGATTTCAAGTCGGTCGCTACTGTTCACTCTCGATTTTTCACGTCGGCTTACAACGCGAGCAACGAAAGTGAAGGTAACGTGAACTCCAGCGTGACGGATCCGGGTCAAGCTCAAAATCTGGCTCTGTGGACCACAACCATTCATGTCTGTGGAGGAAAGTCTCTCTCTCTCTTTCTCTCTCTCTCTCTCTCTCTCTCTCTCACTCTCTCTATGAAATCTACTCTCCTTCTCCGCTAATCAATAACGACCGGCCCCGCAACAAGTAGGCATCCCGGCTGATAGATGAGCGAAGAGGAACAAGGAGTACTGTCACTTTTCAACGTTGCGAAATTATTTCTTCGCGCAAACTTCGGTCGCCATAATTATTATGGACTCGATGTTCTTTTTTTAAAAAACATTATCCAAGTAAAATTCTGGTATGGGATGATAAATGCTTAAAGTATATAAAATTCTATTCATCGTGAATGTTACGTCGGTAGATTTTTATATTTTTTTCGTTTCTTAGTACACATCTTTTTCGTGTTTATTTGACTGTTTCATGTGGCTTTCGTGTGGAAAAAAATTGACGATAAAAATGCACGATGATGCATGGTGACTTGTATATGTGGAAGATGAATAACGCTATATTTCTATATAACGTATAGCGTTGAATATTCCAAATATAAATAGTTTGTTAAATCTGTGTTTGACACGTGTGGCAAGTGGCAGGAAATTTTCTGAATGAACGAAGAATCTTGAACAGGCGGATCTTCCTGGCGAGGGACTTTGCAACGCGGACTGCGGACAACGCCTGCGCGAAAATAACGAACGATTTCGTTTTGGTTTCCGTGGCAGCCCTCGATAATTGGTGAATGGCTCGATAGACACACGCAATCCTTGATAATCGTGAAATTGCCAGCAAAAGCTGAGTTTTTTTTAAATAAAAAAAAAGTCCCGACCACCCAACCATTAATTATCGTCAACCGAAAGTCTAACATTCGTCAGACCGAAAAATTTTATGCACCGTGGCAATAAATTCGTCGAATAGACGGGGCAGGTTAATCGTGATTAATCGTGAGTACTGGCTCACGAAATGTTTAGCGATTTGTTAATAATTAATTATTAACAGGACGTAGGGTCGACCAAGTGGAAACGGAAATTTACGGTCGGACCGAAATAGTTCAAGGTTGATCGGGAACTGTGTCACGACCGAGTTTCATGGTGAACTCCCGATTCGATATCACGTGCAATTATACGGCTCGTCCACGTCAAAGGAAATTTTCATTGCGTCACAACGACGAATCGAACCGACGAAACGAAGGAAAGCAAAACTCTTGAAGACGTCGAGTATCAGAAAATATCGTTCGATACTGGAAACGATCGGTACCTGACCGGTATTGCATTACGTCACATACGAAACACTTCTAAAAATGTTTCAATACCTTGAGAAGGAAATTTCAACAATTTACGCACCAACGTGATTTCTTCAAATTCTTTAAAACGAATCGTTCAGTCGCAAACAATTCTCCCGCTTGATCTTAGGAACAAACAGCACGCGCTCGTCGTCCACGTCAATTAATTCTTCCGATCGAAATCAAAGCGAATCTTTCCTACCGATCCAATGGGAGAAACGGATAAACGAGTAAATAGTCGAGAATAATGATCGATCCCCACGGTATTAACGTAAAACAACATCGATTTATTCAACACAAATACTTGCACGTTACGGTAGAGGTTCGGTAATAATGATAATAATAATAATAATGATAATAATATCCATATATGTATATATACAGGAAATAAGGCACGTTCGATATTACATTAATTAACGTGCGACTGTAAGTCGCTCGGCTGTCCAATACATTACATCTTTTATCGTTTTATCGTCATTGTGTCTTCTTCTCGTTCGTACGATATGCAACATCCTTACCAAATGTAAAAAATGTCATATATATAAATAAATAAATAAATATACATATATATTTATACATACGATATATATATATATATATTTATTTATTTATTTATAATATACGTATATATCTATCTGTATAAATGTTCTCGTTGAATTTTCATTCGTCCGTTCGGCCGAATTGCCGAAGATAAACTTTTACACCATCTTAAATCTATATTTATAATCGTACATATATACGTACATAAATCCCTTCTTGCTTAATTACTCGCAAAGAGTCACGACCATGCTGGTCGTTCGGCTTTCTCTTTTTCTTCTCTCATTTCCGTTTTTCTGTTTCTTTTTTCTTTTTTGAGAATATTTCAACTACGCACGTTGTTTTATAGCCGATATTTCAAGTTGCAAAAAGGCGCAAAGTTTGAAACGTTCGGGACCAAAATCGCTATCGTCGATCGTACTCGATTGAATGCTCGTTGCGCTATTTCCCCTGTGATTATTTACGACTTGTAGAATTCCCTTAAATGATTATTAAATTATTAAATACGTTGGGAATTATTAACGAACCCGATGGAACATAAATACTGTTATTTAATTGACAAATACTGAGAATTAATCCAAATTAATGGCTGTAACGCGTGTAACAATTGTACCATGTAATTGTCTCGATGAATTTTTAAGGAAACGTGTCTCGCTCTTTCAACGACAAATGTGTATATACGAAAACGCAAATTGGCGTTCACACGTATGTGATCTATGAGGAAATCGATGACGATCGAGATAGATTGGAATATTGTACAATGTATTTACGATTTCGTTGGCACGCACAGACACTCGCAGATTGCGATCTTGATCCTTAACCCTCTAGTGTCTCTTGTTGCAGAAGAATTATCGATCCTTTACTACAAGGGGATTTCGATTACAACGATATATTTTGTACGTGTAAAAAAGTTATTCGTTTTTATGATATACGTTTAAAAAATAACTTCGTGTGTTGTAAGTGAACGTCAGCTCTGTTACATTCTATTCGTTCTCAAAAAATGAAACAACGAAATGAAAATCATGAATTACCATTTCCAAAATTCCGATCCGCGAACCGTCAGACAATAAAGGGTTACACGAATTTCCAAACGACTCACACTCTGCAAATGACACTTACTATCGCACATGCACCCGGAAAACTTACTTTAGGCGGTATCTAAACTGGCATCAAGATACTTTACACGAATGTACAAAAAGTTTTCCTACACCGTAATCGGAATGTGTGAACCATTACTCGTTCGTTTCGTTTCTTTTCTTTCTGTCCCTATGCACTACTTACGTACTAAGTTTTTAATTAGAAAAAGAAGGTTTCTATAGCATCTGGAATCGTTGGTTTCTTGCGTCCAAACTGGAATGTAAAGCGCAACTGTAAGCGCTGTGAAACGAAGGGCTAATCGTTTCGGCGAATCGTTGATCGGTGAATTTAAACGTGTCATTTACCCTTTTTATAGCACGAGAATTTATCGAACATAGGTATTTTTTTTTTCACTTCACTGAGAATACCTCTCCGCGAGAGGTTTCTTACATTAATAATTAACAAATCTTCGAATTTAAAGTATGCACGTAACATATACATTTTGTAAAATAACGATTCGACGTACTGATATGTTTAACAATTGCTGCGGCAAGTTTGATATGTTTGGAACTGTGTTTTACATCATCGAATATTATTTGCAGCTGATGCGAAAAAACGAACACAAATTTTCAATACATTTTCGACTAACGTACGATGTTCTTGCCTCGACACTTCGATTTCCTTGTGATTTTAAAAATCTTTATACGCACATTTAAGAGAAGGTTTCGTTTAAAATACCACTTGACGAGGAAAGAATTCGTACAAACGATAAGCCGTATATTTGTCATTCACGAATCAACGGTTCGTCGCTTTTCCAAAAATACTGTCGTCTCCAAGATGGCGATTCGCCGTGAGCAGCTTATGCAAAAATCGCTCGGTCCTTCATAAAACAACGAATCCACGGACGAAAGCGACGATCGAGGCATTCGTAGAGATCGATACAGCCGCGTTCGTCCGTTTAACTCCGAATAAAATTCAACAGCCTATTCCCTTTTCGACACGCTTTTCGCTGTCATTGATGTATTGACGCGTATTCGTCATCCGCTTGAACCCTTACGCTTAAATTATATAATTGATTAATTTAAATTAATTATATAATTATGCGTTCGCCAAACACCCGATCACTTCGATTCGTAAGTACTTGCGCAACGTCTATATCTAATTCACCATTAAATCTAATTAAACTGAATCTTTAACATAACCATTCTACAAACTATTTCCATCATCGAGATATCGCTTGTAATTATTCCAAAGATGGATGACTTCTAAGCTGCGAAATGTTGTTTTGGTCTGTTCGTATTATAAAAATATGAAGAGGGAGAGAAGAACGTTACTGCTAAAAATCCCGTCTAACAGAAATTCCCCAATCGTTGTGCGCGTAAGAAACGAACAGGCGCGTTTGTACGGGAAAAAAAAGAAAAAAAAAGAGAAAAAAAAAAAAAAAAAAAAAAAAAAGAAAAAAAAAAAAGAAAAAAAAAAAAAAGAAACACGACGGTCACGTTCTTCCGTGGAGCAAAGCGTCCGAATAATTACAAGCAATGCCGTGAGTCCAATCTCCCAGAAATGACCCGAACGTGTGAACCCCGTCAATGAAAATAAAGGAAAGAGAAGAGAACGACTACCCATTGAGAACGACTACCAGGAGGCGGAAGAGTAGGATTAAAAAGCCGTACGTTCTATCGCGTGCCTCTCGTCCACCGGTAAGCTTTCAATTCTTCAATGCCAGCGAAAGCGTTCCTCGAGCGTGTGTATCGACACCCGATCGCTCTTCGAGTGTGTCCCAACTCTCTCATTGTACACCGAGTTACAGGACTACATCCCTCTTCGATCACCCCTTAAAACGACGTTTCTATTGCACTTTGTCCGTCTTACAGTTAGAGATTACAGCCGAGGATCGGCCTTTTGGGAACGTATCGCTTCTTCGACTCTTCAAGGCTTCTCTCGATGGCTCCGCCGTTGTCCGTTCGTTCGGATAGCTTTCTCAAATAAATTCTCCCGGCCTCGCGGTCGGTCTTGAGCATGTGATCTGGTGTTTCGAGGCGTTCGTGCCTCGATACCACGGCGTCTATCTACCGAAACGTGTCTTAGCGACGGAGTAACGTTGAACAGGCAGCCAAGAATCGGCACGATCGGACCTTCGGCTGAGATTTTTCGACTGGCGACGCGAAAAAGCGCGATATCACAGCTTCGATGGGTCGTAGTTCTCGAACGACCACCTCTGCCTCGCTGCTGTTGCGGAACATTCTTCCATTATCAGACGCTGCTTGCTCTCCGTTATCGCCAGACACTTGTCGCTGCTGCCGTGTCTGATTTGCTTCGTCTGAAAACAAACGTTTCTCGTCAGTGTCTTTCTGCAGTGCTGCAGACGACGAAGAAAATATGCTTTTGTTGGAAATATGCTTTTCAAGTAGTTTCGAATCTAATCGAAGAATCAGCATCAACAAGATGAGATCGGAGAATGAAAAGGCAACATCAAGAAGACTCAGAACTGGACGCGACAAATATCAGGAAAAATCAGAAACGCGATTTGATATTAATTGCCTAAAGCGCGAAACCAATATTTGTCGCAAACGTACGAGGATTACGCACCTGAGGATTATAAATCCATTGTTGATTCCCCTTGCTACCGTGACAAGGATAGAGGATGACATCGGCGCCGCTGTAATCCAGGCACGACTCGTCTCGACGGATCTCGCCGGTCTTGCTCAACATCCAGTACTGTGACAAACGATCAAGATTAATGTCCGTGGATTTTGACCTGTACTGTTTGCCTATGACCGATGGTTCTGACAGCCACTGCGCCATACGTATCCGCGTATCCATTCGCCGAAAGACTCCCGGAAGCATAAATGTACCGGAGACAAACCGGTTAAATAAATTTCTTTGCAACTTGTTGGAAAAGAAGCCGATTATGTAAAACAAGGTGAGAAAATTGATCGGAGAAAATTGATTTGAATTTCTGTTGTGAATCAAGTTACGAGTTTAAAAATCGTTTGGTCATTCGCACAACGTGGAATTTTATGTAACTTGTCTGACGTATCGTCGATCGCGATCACTTATGTTCTTCACACGCTAAAGTTTTGGCTGCACTCAGACGAGAGTTTGAATGATTTAGAGATCTTTCTTGTTATACATTCTCGACCATATTTTGTTATTCCAGTATTTTGTAACGTATCAAGTTGATTTTTGTCTAAAAGTATTTGGACTCAACAACTTCTTAACTTGTTCGCAGTAAAATTCCCATCTCGCCGTTCACCTTTAATAGAGATCGTACACAGATCCACTGAGAAGTTTCTAATTTCTAACGAAGAAAGGAATAATTTTCTTAATTTCGCTTAATTTCCGCAAATAACAAGGGGGAACGCCTGCTCAACTTTTCAATGCAAACGAGGAGGAGTATTTCATCTTTGTAATTACTCCAATAATCAAACAAGCTCAAATTTGCACGTATAATTAATGTGTGAGTTTGAGCCTTTACGAGTCTTTGAGTTCTCCGTGGTAGATAAAATTTCTGAACGAAACTTTTCTCTTAAAGGATAAATCATGAAACATGAAATATGAAAATTATGTTACTACTACGGTGAATTATTTTCCAACTTTAAGATCTAATTTCACCAAGATAGTTATCAATTAAATATTTGCGTGCGTGGTAGGCACCGTAACGTTTAACACGCCTCGAGAGGAATTAAATTCGAGTAGGAAATTACATCAAAAGGGGATTCCGTGATAATGAACGTCGACCGTTGATAATCGAGTTCAGTGGTCTCAGAAATTGCTTCGATCTGCTCGTACGTGACTGAATCACACTGGTCAATTGAATCTGACATCGTTCCATCAAATTGTAGTTGCTCTTAACGAGACCGAGAGCTAGAACGTAACTTGTTAAGCATCTCTGACAGTACGTGTGTATTCACAAGCTCTTGTCACAAGCTTTCTTATCATTCACAGAAACAATCGTTTCAGATGAACTGATCGCAAAAAGGAGACGATCGTCCCCTTTAACTTTGTCAGAAATTTAACTTTACTTGCCACAAAGACAAAGTACCCCCGTTGTATTCCTTGCAAATTGACAGAATAGTTAATAAATTAATTCTTTCTCACTATCAGTTGACACATTTAACTGATAATAGCCAAGATCGCTAAATCATTCAGAATTCGCGAGTAATTCTCCTGTGAAATTAGCGCGAAGTATACTTGAGGCATACGTGGAAAATTTCAATTTGTACAGAGGGCTGTGGGGAGCATGTGTAGCGAAGGGTTCATTAAATATTACGAGTGGTCAGCGATGAACAGTGGCTTGTACTTATTCAAATCGTTGCACGGTAGTAACCGCGCTGTCAGAACCATCTGCGTTGAAAATTCAAAGGTTTGCAGCCCCTGTCGTGCAACGATAGACTCGAAAGCAACGGGAGTCAGGATAATGAAAAGCGAGGATTAACGCCATGCACCAGTTATTCGCATGTTCAACAACAAGCGAGCATTACTATCTATATTTGCTTCAACGGTACACGATGAAATGAATCAGACCACCATAAACCAGAGATCGAGATAGAAATGACATTCATTTCCCTCCAAACACTTTCCATTCTGAAAGGAAAAAAAAAACCAAAAAAAAAAAAAAAAAGAAGAAGAGACAAGTATCGCTTCAGTACGAATTATACTCGTTTATCGATTTGTAGGTTTTCTAAAATATGTTATGTATGTTGATAGTTATACAATGAAGTTGTACATATGTTAAATATATGCTATATATGTTGAAAATTTTCTAATATTTCTGCTGATATCGTAAAAATATTTGTTGTACTTTACACAACTGGGATTGTAGAAGTAAAATATTTCCCGAAATATAAAATGCTGTCAAATAAACTCTCGATAGAATAAAGTTTCCTTTTTGGAAGAATTGTTCGACAAATGCTATCAAACAAGTTTGACATACAAGTGCCATCAGATGTAAATTACGCGAACTCAAGGGGCCAACAATTTCGATCCTTGGTAGTTTGTCCAGTCAGTGTAACGAAATAATTAGCTCGCCATTTTTTATATAAAATAGAAATAAAAATTGCACCCCTCCACACAGTACCGACGTGTTTATTCTCAAAGAATTAATTTAAAAAAAACAGCCAACAATTTTCGTAACCATTATCGTAACAACGTAACTGTTACAAGTTGATTTGCTGTTTCATTCGAGACTGAAGCTCAATTAACTCGCGTTAATCGCCTATTCGTGAGTCTGCAAAATCATTACCGCGAATCTTAACGATAAACAGCAGCAGTAGTTAAGCAGTAACGAGCAGCGATCACAACCGTAATCTAGCCTTATCTAAACAGGAGGCAACTGTCAACTGACTGTCATATTATCCGTTATCTCATTATCAATAATTACGCGCCGTTAATCTCACTTAGCGATAACGCAATCGCTCTGTCTGATTACAATCTATCCATTGGCCGTCGTCTGCCTGTTATCGAGGCGTTCGTGTGTAGCGACGCGATCATCGTTGACTTTTATTAGATAGTCATCTAACAATCGCGTATACTCGTTGATACACACAGTGCGCGTGTACTACTCGACGTAACCAGCAATCGACGACTGTCTATCACGAACGATGTTTAATATTACCAATGCCTACGAATCGCTACAGAAGCGTTTATGTTTCTATTGTTGGATTTAGTTTTTAGATCGGACGGAGTCGAGAAGAAGAACGATTTTCATTGACTAACACGAGTCATAAATAATCACGGCTGCTGTTTGATACAGATTACTTCATATTTAAACCTCTGTACAAAAATTTTATCTTTACAAGTACGAGCGATTTACGTTTTTGCAAATTCTATGGTTGCGTTGAATGATCGACGAAATTAAACGGGTGTCAAAGGATAATTTAGAGAATTTATCGTTGATCGAATTAATTAAAAATTATTCGCCATCGCGTGTATTTGTTAATCAAAACTCGAGAATTCCTTCGCGCCCGATATCATCGGCTATTGAATTCAATCGTGCATTATTGTGCCATTTCGAACATTCTCTGGCCAACATCAGCCTGTGTTCTCCATGGTGATTTAGAGAATTCTCTAATTTGCTGATTTGATGTGTCCGTTTAATTAATTAGGAATTCCTTTCGAACGAACTCCGGCTGAAACGTTCTTCCGCCCGTCGGCCAAAAGCAAATCCTGTATTGTACAATTCGGAATTCTTGGATAGCATCACCGAACGAAGTTAATTTAATTAAACAGGATCACGTTGCAATTGAAATTATCGCGAACATCGAATTGTCGCTCTCGAGAAAGTTTGCCAAGATTTTCTCTTTAAGAGGATTCCTAAAAAAGGAAAAAAAAAAAATAAGTCTTTATTATCAGGAACGATTACTTTACGGCGTTTAGACATTTACGCGCACGAGAAATATACATAAAGAATAAGTGCAACAATTGGACGAAAAAAGTCTCGAAATACAGTGGAAGGTGTCCGTGTAAGTGTAATTCCGTTGCAGTAGCGTCGAAATCATCGTTTCGGCAGGGCCGAAAATGCACCGAGCTGGCCGCGGCTGCATCAGAGAGAGTCGCGTCGGTCGAAGTTCACGGGGTACCGACGTAATTACCGTGAAACCGCGGCTTAATTGCTAGGGCAAATAGCTAAATTAAAGCGACGCTTTACGAGGCCAGGCGAGCGGCGACTGATTGTGTTTTTGGTTGCAACCGGTTGTCACGGTTGTTAAACCTTGCGCCGAAACCTCGGAACCTGTGCAACGGCTCGGCTTTTGTACGGAACGTACGCTGGTGGATTCACGTCGGTCAGTCTTGTTCTCGTCGTCATTGTCATTATCTTTCTATGAATTCTATCCCTTTTCTTACTTCCACGCTCGCGAGTCTTTAATCGCTTGCGCTGGCAACTGATTGCGGACCATAACGAGTGACCAAACCGTCTACAATAAATTCGTTCGTCGTTTTCTTTTTGAATTCGTCGGTATATCACTGGATAGAAATTATTAAGAAGTAATAAACTTATCATTTGTTTCGCCTGGGTTACATTTAACATTCTAAGAATTCGGGGTATTTAAATCTCCCTTCGCTAGTGGACGGATTAATTATTGTAGTTCTCAAAGTTAATCAAATCAAACAAAGACTCAAGCTACTCGAAACAAGAAGAGAGAGCCCGTCGATATATCGGACGTTAGTACTTAGAAGGTTAAGTATTAAAATATTGCAAAATATTGCACGTCATTCCAGCGCAAGAGGTTAATCGTCGCTCGATTTACTTATCTTTTACTCGTTCCAACAGGAAGAGTACGTGTTTCACTGTTGAAGATACGTGGATGAAAAGAATAGGGTGAGTGGGCACGTGCGTTGAATAATTTTTACAAGAGAATAGATTTCAGAGTGTGTTGTTAGAAACGGTGTGTGTATTACTGACGGACGCAAGGAACGAAGAATTTCATTTCCGTGACTTGATCGCACGGCAGGCGAGTAACTCTTTCGCAAGACAAATGACACCGGGACAACGGATCGATTCATCAAGCCCGTTATCAATGGGCGTTGAAAGACTATCGTCATAACCAGACAGACGAGTATTAGTACCGAGCGGCCTCGAGTATTATCGTAGCGCCGGTTACACCTACGACGAGTAATTTCCCTCACGCGTGCCGATTCCCACGCGGGTCAGAAGATTAATTCGACACGGTGAAACTAAAAATGACGACAAGCGGCAGATAGCCGGGCCAAGAGAAAGCTGTGTATATAGCTTGGATGATCGTGCCACTCGTGTGAAACAGAGACAGAGTGATACATATATACAGACAGATAGAGAAAGAGAGAGAGAGAGAGAGAGAGGGAAAAGGGAGGAAGGTCGACGATTGATGAGCACCTGCACCAGATTAGCGACGTTACTAATTGCAGTGAAATGGGTCGAGCTTAGCACTGAGTTAGCGTGCAAGTTAAATGGTAAACGCGTCGTCGGTTAATGGTCTCTTTTTTTTATCTTCCTTCGTCCGCGATACTCTCCGTTCTTGGCAGAACGATTATTATCGTAAACGAACGCTCGTTCGGGCAATCCCGCCGAGAACATTCGTAAATTCAACGTGGCTGTTTTGCCATTTATGGGACTGTAGCGTGGAATACGTTAGGAAATTTGGTAATCGATTAATTCGGTAATTTTTCTAATCTAAATCGATGGAGTTTGGAACCTGGATATTCGCTTTTCGAATCTGTATTCTCGCAAGAATTAGCTCCTCTGAATAGCTTCTCGTTATCGTCTAAATATCGCGCAGCAATGTTACGAATAGAGAATCCATTGATTGTCCATATTTCCACACAAACCGCGATACAGTTATGCATCATTATATATGACGGAGATAATCTCGGTAATATCACTTGGCTCCAAGTCACGAAACGCTATTACCTGTAATACGACTGTAGTGTGTAATTCTACACTGCATGTGCATACACTTTCGTAGATACATGTTCGGAAAACATATTATCTTTCATCCTGGGTGTGTAAATAATAACCATCTCCTGGCGCGTGTTTTATTAAACGAAACACAAGTGTCATTAAAATACATTGAAACGAAACTTTCCGATATAGTCGGCAAATAAATAGACCGTGGCTGTTGTTCGAAACGGTTTTACATTGTAATTTCACTTTTCTTCAATTAAATCGACGATTGTGTATATCGTTTCGCAGCACATAACGCCCAACGAATTATAGTAGCGTTATTTGACGTATAAATCAACTTGTAAATACTGAGACTTTCTGAAATCTTCGAAAGTTCATTCCTAACGTGTTCCACGTTACAGGAGAATCTAAATGAAAGCAAAACGAATCCTCCTCGTTCAGCCAACGTGCTACAAGCAAGTAGATTTTCGAATATCCCATCACCATCAAGGATTCCAAGAAAAACATACATACGACTGGATAAAGTGAAACAAGCACCGCGTGCCCCGATCATTATTTCAAACGTTACACGTTCGATCGCCCGAATTCTGAATTCGTGTACCTGATTGCCTCCCTGGCGGTGACAGGGATATAAACCCACTGGCTGGTGCAGGTCTTCAGGTTTCCCTGGCGAGTCAATACATATGCTGCTAACCAGGTGTCTGATCTGCAGCGAATCAACAGATTTGCAAACAATTACTACGAATCTTCCGCCGCGAAAAATATCGAGAGAACTTTAATTTCACTTTTTTTGTTTTTTTTTTTTCTTTCCTTTTCTTTTCTTTTCTTTTCTCGTTCCTACCGGTCTCTACCGAGCCCGGTATTATTTTCTTGCACAAAAACTTAGCGCAACGCTAAGTTCCTGTGTCCTCGTCTCGCGATCCTGAAGAAACGGAAGAAACACGAAGCCACAGAGCTAGTACATGGAAGCCTAGAATACGGACAACTAGTCATGCAGGTGTGAACGAACATGTCAGAATGTTTAAAAAGGCTTCGAGTTAGACAAACAAAAGATCGACTTTTCGTTTAGTTTGTTCCGTTGGAAAAATAGCAAGTGACAATCGTTCTTTTTATCCGATTTCAATTAAATAGGCGTTTCGCGAAACTCAACAAGTCGAGCTTTCGCTTGCAGCGTGAAACTTGCAGACAGAGTGAAAAAAATAGCTGAAAAATAGCGAGGCTTAAAATAACAGGGAGGGGGGGGGGGGGGGGCTTAAAATAATATCTGGTCGATGTTCGAGTTCACCCTTCGTGTTTGTACCTGATTTCCACCCTGTCGATGGCAAGGGTAGAGTCCAGCCGGTTTGTGCAAGTCTGCCTTGCGTGCCGGCGAATCCAGACAGGTGTTACCTCCTTCTCCCAGATTACGAACCTGTTCGTTGGTTAGTAGAATCGTTTCACGGATTAGTACGGTTAGAAGCGACAGTTAAAAGTTAGTTTGTAAATTTTTTTTCTTCCCCCCATCTAACGAGACGAACACCAGCGAGAGAAAAGTAACGAGTAAAGCAAGTCCACGCGGTAAAGAAACAACGTCCGATTCGTTTAATTGTCAACGATGAGAGAGATATTCTTTGAAAAGGGAAATGGCGAAACGTCCAAATGGCGAAAAGTTGACGAAGCGTCGAAGCCCGGTTGAAAAGAACGGATCTGACAATCGACGGATTCCTCTCGTTAGAGAGACAGTGGAACGAATCAATCTTCGATATCTGCGTGCTATAGAGAACAATAAGAATTATATCCCATCGAATATCCCGGGCGAAAAATATTTTTCACGATGATTTTCCTATCGAAAATATTTCCCCCGCACGTTATTTTTCTCTCTGGCGTTCGCGCGTTGCCATGGGTATCTACGGCGATCAGTTTCACCGGAAAGTCTGGAAATACGAAAAAAAA